ATCAGCATTTCCCTCAGAGCTGGTGAGGGACAGAGAAAAAGGACAGAAGGGTGATTATCTGTGATCTTCTGAGCAGCAATGCCTTTGTGAATGAGGGGGCACAGTATTCACCATAGGGCACTCCACATTTTCTTCCAAACTCACTACTACACTCTGGACAAACCTAACCACATCCAGAGGCATTTCTTTTTCAAAGGATTGTCAAGTGATTTCTGCAAACAATTGAGGACTTATTTTATTTGAAAAGGCTTGGAAAACAAGGGATTAATGTTTTCATCACTTTTCATTATAAAAGTAAGGAAGGAATCTGCCCAAATCACTTACCTTATAGATACTAAACTCCAAATCCATGTTTCTGGGAAATACTTTCGTATTGTCTCTGTCACCTCTTCAGGAGTTGCATGCATTCTGTTAGAATCTAGGGCTGGTAATTCCAAACAAACAAGATCTACATCAGCATCATGCTTTGCTCTAAGAAAGTGGCTGTCTACCTGACAATCAGAAGCTACACTGGTAGCACCAGTACCATGAATAGTGATTTCCAGGGTTTATTAGCAAGGGCTAGCCCTTCATTATTACCCACTGGTCTCCAGCGAACCTCACAGTGTACGGGACAACATTTCATAAAGTAAAAGTGAGCAGCTTGGAAGAAGCAGCTGTTTCTGATATTGTGTGCTTGGCTCTGACAAAAGGAAACAGAAATCCACCCAAACAGGTAAAGTTTAAAAGTTCTTTACTTTGGGCAAACTCATTTCTATATTTAGATTAAAATTGTGTAGCTGGAGACCTGACATCTAATGTTGAGTTATGAAAGCTTGTCTGTAGGCCTTCACAACCCAGCAAAAGTGACATGCCCCACAAAGACATGCTGAAGTTGACATTTGTGGACCCACCACTTCAGAACTCCTTCTAAGATCTCAGCCCACAACCAGCTCTTGTTTAAGTATTCACCCCAAAATTAAGAGGTGACAACTAGGCCCAGTTCCCTTACCACCTGTCCTCAGTGCATACATAGGTGCTCCAGCCAGGCCTCCACTTGCTGTAATGCGACTCGGTGCAGGCACGTAATTCTCAGTGCTGCAATACCAAGGTTTCTTCACCTTGGAATTTGTGAAAACCTTTAAGCCCATTTCCTATGGGGGAGAGACAGAACATGTTTTTGGGTACTCAATCCTATTGAGGTTTACACAGCAGATGTATTGTTCATACTTCACTGCCTCAAAAGTAAAAACTGTATTGCTTATGGATGCCTGAGATGACCTCTCAGTCCTGGTCCTGAGTGGCTCAGAAATGCTAAAGGATAGATCTCTTGCCTTTAGGATACTAGTTGCAGTCCAATTCCAGTCTAGGGGTCAGGATGAGCCAGGGATTAGATATGAAGTCTCCTCTCTGGAAGGAAACATCTGTGGCTACAGTGCTGCTCAAGGATATACTGATTTATTTGGGGTAACTGTAATAGCACAGAATTTTTTAACACGAGCTACAAGCTAAAAAGAAAACTCTGAGATTGATGAGTTCAAGTTAGGAACACAGCTGGTAAGACAGATGAAGCTTATAACTCTTACTTGCCTCCAGATAAAAATCAGTGTTTGACTACTGAGATTCACAAGTCCTTCCCTTGTTATGTTGCATCATGCAGCAGAAGGTGTTCTTTCTCATTCCTTCTCCCATTCTACTCCCCAGCCTTACTAGAGGGCTATACCTTTAGAATGCTGTAAGCGTCATCTTCATTCATCTCCACTACTGGAGTATAGGTGATCCCATTCAGAATTATTTTCTTCAAGGGGACACAGTCTTCTAGGGGTTCCTCCAAGAGCACGTCTGTACCATGGCGATAGTCATGCAATTCTTTCACTGGCAGCAAGCTATACACCTGAGCAGAAAAAGCCAAGATATTTTGCATTTTTCAGTATCCACTGTCATAAAACACTGCTAAAGAATAAGCATCATAACAATCAAATCCACACAGCCATGGTCCTCCCTGCAGTGGGTGCAAAGGGAAACTCTGAGCCTAAAAAGATATCTGAATTTGGAGATACCAACTCTTTTCCTATAAATAGCACGTTAGTCTGGTTATTACGGCTCAAATATATTAAAAATTACAGTGGCCGGCTCAGTTACTGTCCTTTTTATCTTTCCAAGTAAAGGGCATTTGCTGCTCAGCATAAGGGGAATAAACCCTCTGACACTTCTAGATGCTACTCCAATAAAGTATATCCATGGCTGTAAAGAATACCTAAAAAATCAACATTAAACACAGGACAGCTTTTGGTTCGTGGACATGCAAAGCAGCCTCCTTAAGAGGGCTTCCCAGTTGCCATCCCTAGAGTCATGTAAAATCACTAACAAACAGCTGCTGTTCAGTTCTCGGCTTTTTGCCTGCTGAAGCAAGATGAGAAGCTGCATTGACATGCATGCATGACAGCATTTCTGTGCCAGCACTAACAAGGTTTGTTCACTATTTCCACTGAGCTGCTCTTGCCCTGACCAGACTTTGAGATACTTTGAGATAGAATAAGTACTTACCAAGCTGGGTGACAGATCAGCTTCAGGCTTCATGAGGAGAACACTCCTGTCCACAGCACGGACAGCACAAAGGGATTTTGGGGAGGCTTTGAACAGTAAGTGAGTGTCAGAAGAAGGCAGGCCTTCAGAAGGAGAGAAGCTCAAGCCCACCTGCAGCCATAGAAAAAATTATGTTACAGATGCCCTAACTTAGCAAGATACCAGTTGAGTGCACCAGTCCCAACCTTATGAATCCCACACACATCTGCACACGCACACATCCATCCTGTGCTACTGCAAGAGCAGGTTTCCTTCTCAAAGTGGTAATGAGCCCTAGAAGTTCTTAGCAATTTAATTATCATAATTGTTTATGATTGTTAAGGCATTTTGGGGTTTTACAGTCACTGTGAACATTGATATAATTTCACATAGTGGCTAGATCTGTTCAGGCAGCTGGTCTTGAACGAAGTTCAGTCTCTGTGCTGCATCCAGACATTGCCTGTGAGAATACAACATACCTGCAATAATCTTGATTGGCAGATTCTCTCATAACATAAAAAGCAGTAATGTCTTGGAGCAGTATTGTAATATGGACTAGCTGGAAATGGTTCTGAAGAACTAGCTTGTTGTTGAGTCTAGCCAAATTAGTGTAGCTTCCCCAGAATCTAACTCATAATTCAAATGACCTCCTAGTAAACTCTGCTCTGCAAAGTTTTGCTAGCAGAAGTTGCTTTCATCTTTATCTCACATGATTTTGCAATAAATGACTGTCCTGCATAGATTTTTCTGTTCTCAGCAGTACAAAACCCTTCAAACCAATCAAAATATTTTTAGAGTAAACATGTTCCCTGAATAAACAGCACTAGCTGCCAGTCTCCCTCATGTCACAGCTGGACCATGGCATGCCTTTTGCTGACACTCACCACCTCTCCCAAGGTGGTCTAAACTTTGAGAATGCAAAAACAGTATTCTTAAGGAAATGACCTAACAGGGAATCTAGCAAGCTTGCTACTAGAAAAAATGACTAACACAGAGATGGCCCAAAGACTGTCCTAAATAGACTGACATCAGCTTTGTATCCAGCCTGCTTTCAGAGAGGAAAGCAATACCTAAGCACATATATTACTTGGTACTTGACGTCTGACCAGATAATACAGCATGTAAAGTGGCATCTAAAATATAAAGAAAATTCATGTATCCAACATCTTACAGTAAAACCAATCTCAAGAACTTATTTAGCTTGGCTTTTAGTGAGACAAGGCATTGCCTTTAGCAGGGCCTTTCTATTATTTTTAAGTTATACTGAGTAACATAGGGCTGCTCATACATAAAGAATATTTGGAGCCATAAGAGGATCATGATCCACATGTTCACAGGCAGCTTTATTTTTCTGCCCTCTTTCAGCTCTTTGAGTCTCACTAGTGCTATTAAAGTTCTTTGTTCACTACAGATGGCAGTTTCAAGCAAGGCTTACCTCCATTTACTTAGAACAGAAATTACAGTGACAAGATGACATGTATAGAAGTTGAAAAATACTGTAAGTATTAGATGTGCCTACTGGGTTTGGGCAGAGAAACCACCTACAACAATTGACTGGTGGCTTGTTCAGTGTTAGTAAATCTAAATAAATGAGCTTGGTCAGGCTAAATTAAAAAATATATACATGTGGCCAGGCTATAGTGTAACTACTTTCTCAAACAAGTGGCCACTTACCTTATTATTGAAACATTTTTCTATGTTGAACTTTGTTGAATCTGCAATCATCTCCCTGCTGGGGGTAACAGTGTAGACCAGCACTTGGGCTATAGGAGCAAAGTCAGCTTCCACAGGCAGCTGTAGTATGAAGACACCATTGACTAGCAAACAAAACAAGAGCAAAAAATTGAAGTACTGGAAACTTCCTCTTGGATCAGCCAAATTTCCAGATTCCCCTTCATGCTGAACTTCATCCTAGTGAAAATGAAACTATGATTTTAACTAGGATGAATTTGTTCTGAATTTGTTCTCACAGAGATAAGTAAGACCACCAGACTGTGTCTCTTCCATGCACTGAAATCCCAGAAATGCATTGTTAATAAAAAGAGAGGTGGCACAAAGGCTAAAACAAATCTACGCAAAAACTGAGTAAACAGAAAAGAAAGTTCAAACTCTTCCAACAGCACAGAGAAGTGGATCCCTGCATTCTCCAAGGAAGTAGGTTGTGTGTCTGCCACAGTTGCATAATCCCCCAAGTCAGAGACAATTTACGAGGGGAGAGAAACATACCACTTTCCTTATCCAAATCCAGAATTCTGGTGCCTGCTTGCTTGATAATTCCCTTGGCCATCACCTGAAAGAAATGAGAAATCCTGCAGTGCTTGAAGTTATATATGAAATAAACCTTAAGAGATGGGAGAGTGGATCTGAGAGGAAAGCAAGAGAGCTCTGTGTATGAGCAATAGGTAGCTAATTGCAACCTGCTCAGCTGCCTTCTGTAGCAGAGTCCCAATGGTCACCCAGGGGGCTCATGGGACTCTTCTGCTCCAAACGTTTATACTCATTTTACTGGGAAAAGAATATGTGGAGGATGATGGGGAAGTGTTTAAAGCCTGCTGCCATAAACCACTGTTTCCAACTCCACCTCTTTCCTCCACAATTGCCAGTGACTCCTGACTTCATGGGAAGTGCAAGCTTACCAGGTGGTATAAGATGACTTTCTTCCTCTCTCTTACAGCCTCTGATGTAAGGATATAGTGAACCCGGACCTCAGCTGAGGAGCCACAGCTTAGTGTCTCAGACATAGGCTCAATTTTGAGGAAGCTCTTACTAGGGGAGTAAAAGCGCTTTAGGTGGAGATAACCATCTTCATAAGTTGGATTAACCCATGAATGGTCAAAGCAGTAGGAGTGTGTTTTGTGAGTTGCCTGGAAAAGCAGAAAATAGGTTAGATATTAGGAGGAAGGTTTTCACACAGAGGGTGGTGACACACTGGAACAGGTTGCCCAAGGAGGTTGTGGATGCCCCATCCCTGCAGGCATTCAAGGCCAGGCTGGATGTGGCTCTGGGCAGCCTGGTCTGGTGGTTGGTGACCCTGCACATAGCAGGGGGGTTGAAACTAGATGATCTCTAAGGTCCTTTTCAACCCAGGCCATTCTGTGATTATATGATTCTATGAAAGTACAAAAATGTACTTAGATTGATGTACAGATGTACTGTAATTTTTTGTACTTAAATAAAACAGTATTCTACAAAAAACAAAACAAACGAACAACAACAAACAAACAAACAAACAAAAAACAACCCACGATGCCGGAAGATATAAGACAGGGCAGTGGTATCCTGACTAAATAATTGAGAATTATTCACTCCCAGTGAAGCTGAAATTTGTCTCAGTTGTTTGCTTACTATCAGTAACACCTCAAGGGCTCTTTACCCTAATATTTTGCCTTCTCTAATTATCAGTTTGTTTAAAGAGAAAATAAGCTTTTCTTCACCCCACAGACACATTGTGGTAACTTCTGGATAATTTTTAATGGTTTTATTCTGTGGCAAGAGAATTGTATGGAAAAAAGAAAATATAATTATAGACAATATAATTAAAACAATAATAATAATAAATAAAAATAATTAAAATAATATAATTATAGACAAACTGCCCTATTCCAAGGTGAAACTTTGGAAAATGTGCATGAAATTGGAAAATGTGCATATTGCATTTTTCAGCAGCACTTATTTTTTCCAGATAAATGACCTCTTCACTAGAGAGAGAATTTTTGTGAATGATCCACTAATTTTCACTATTTTTCTATTTATGGCAGGAAAATAAAAAATAAAAAAAAAAGAACGAGAACAGCTTAGAAATATGGAATGTTAAATTAAACCCTGAGAGATGCTTAGATGATACACTTAGGAAACCATTTAATTAAAAAGACAATGAAGCACTAGAAGCACTCCACCACAGAATATTTTTAAGAAAAGGTTAGAAATACCCTTGTTACAGATCTGTCTAGATAGGGTTGGTGACATCTTGGAGCAGAATGGACTATATGTTCTCATCATTTTTCTTCTAAACCTATTGTGCTATTGCCAAGCATAAATCAAATACAAGTTAAGCATAATTGTCACATGGAAACCTAGTTTGCTGCATGGCTATTTCCACCACAGTGATGGCAAGACTGGTATAGCCAATCAGGAGCAAGAAGCTAAGCGCTTTTGCACTTATAGGAGAAACTTAAGAAGTAGTTTTCCACTCCCAAGTCCTGCAGGTTAATTCATCACCTTCTCTGCCCTAGGACTCACTCTAATTCCAACAGAATCGAAGTACAACATGGAAGTGTTCAAGGCAAATAGCGCTCTGCCCTCTTCATTTGTTGTGTAGTTCATTTCCTGGCCTCCTTGTAAAGAAATCCTCACAGTTTCATTGGCAATTGGAGCACCAGACCCATCCACAAGTTTAACCTGTAGGAGTAAAAACAGAATGATACAGGACAGCAATGCCTGCCACCTGTACAGATTGATATGTCACAAAGGTGAAGATGTTGCGTCTGTCCTGAGACAGAAGTTTCCTGCATTTTACTGTACATTACATGTTCCAAGGAGAGCTGCAGATTTTCTGAATCTTTTTTATCTCCACTTTATGTCAGAAGAGTGGACACAGACTAACATGCATTAACATCAAGTAAGGCCTCTTATTAAGCAGAAGACCAGAGAAGCAGAACTTGAAACACAAGAATATTGGGTTATGCTCTCAGTTGCTATTCTCTGGTTCAGAACTTGCAAAGTAGTGGAAGCCACCAGACATTAGCTGTACTGAGCTCCAGAATCTTTGCAGAAGTAGGCAAATATCCACCCAGGAGATTCAGTAGCATGACTGTTAAGCATTCATGACACTTCACTTCTCAGTTTTCCTACCTGCCCAAAGAAGGGGATTCCAGGTTTGTAGTAGGAATCTGAGTTCTCAAAGGTAATTTTGCTGATGGTAGTTGTGATCTCAGAGAAGCTTGTTCCAGTCAACACAATTCCTGCAAGAAGCATGAAGGATTGATTTGCGTCTCCCTGATAAGGATTACTTTTACTCCATACCAGCTCTCTTTTGCTGGACAACCATTTAGTTGGTGCTCTTGGAATCTGGGCAGGAAAGTTTTAAAATTCCAGAACTGAGAGTCTACTCTTCTCCTTCCTCTTACTTGGCAGTCTGCTCTGCTGGTATCTCCTGGACTTATTATCTGGCTCTTTGACCCAGATCAATCATACCTGTTTCCTCCTCTTCAATCCTAGCATCCACATGGAGCTTGTTCTCATATCCAGTTCTCTTGAGCTGGAATAACTTGGTTTTTACCAGTTTAGAAATGCAGCCATGGTTGTCTGTCTTTTGGAAGAAAATAATAATAATAATATTACAGTCTCATGTACTGTAATGTTTATCTAACATAATGATCCCATCACTGTGTGCTATCTTGAAATGGAAGAGAAGCCCATAACTTCACAGGTCATTCTCTTTGTTTTTATAAAAACTGGAAAACACCCATAAATAACTTGGCACTGAGCATTCTGAAGTACCTGCAGGAACATCAAAGCAAAGAACTTGCAACCTCTGTTTCTGTCAATTATGTTAGCACTGGTGCACTTGTCCATGCTTCAAGGAGTTTTGCTCTGTAGAGCAATGTCAGAGGGATGTGGGGTGTCTCTCTGTCTTAACCGCTGCTCCTAAATTCATGTTCCTTTCCTCTTTCCTTAAACTGCATCACTCATCCCTCAGTTTCTGTTCCTTTCTTGCCTCAAAGAACAGATTTTGATCTCACACACTTTGATGAGCTAGCTGCTCATCTTTTTTATTTTTTAGTCCCTTATATTCTCTAATCTACTGATGTGGGTTTTTTTTCTTTACTCTCTTCCTTCTGTATCACTTTGTTGCTTAAATGCACATCTTGCTTACTACACAGACCTTTCACATTTCAACTTACATCCAATCTTCTTTTCTTCTCCAAGCTTCCTTAAAATACCTGGAATCACTCCCCTCTTCACACTCGTGTTTCTACACACTGTAGCAGAGCAAATTTATGCCTACAAGGCAGGCTCAATAAACAACATTTTCTCTTATCACTCCACCCGATGAATACTCAAAACTCACCTGTCCAGAGAATTCATCACATACTGCCTTAGCCTCTTCACCATAGCAAGCAGTTGCTGGGTATTCAAATTTCCTGCAGACACGAAAGCTCACATGGCCAGGAACAGGCTTGCCAAATGTGTATCTAAAAGCAGAGAGGACAGAAAAAACAGAGCTATTATCAGTGTAAGAGAGATGGAGGAAAATGGTTAGTTCACCACAGGTGGAGCCAGAATTTTTCCCTAGAACTTCCTCCAGGATATAGTAGGCTAATTGTACCAAGTAAAAGGCATCAAGAAATTCAGTAACATTTTAGGATCGAGGTTGGCAATGAACCTAAGATTCAGTACAGCACTGAATCTTATAATTCTGATTGAATTCCTGGGAATAAGACATAGCTATCCAAAAGTCATTTACCATAATGCTTATTCGTTGACAGTACACCTAGACTTAGAGAACATGATACAAGTATCTACCCTACCACCTAATTCTGATGCAACTGTTTATGTATGCAATGGGTTTTTCAACTCATTTTTCATCCCATTCTGTATCTTTTCCTGCAAGATGCATGTAGAACATGCCATGTAGAATCACATGATGTGGCCCAGGGAAAACATGACATGTTTTTTTTATGTAGAAGCCACAGATAAAAATGCCATTCTCAGCTGAACTAAATAGAAGACCTCTTCTCTAGCATTGCAGCTGATCTTAAAGTCTCTGACTTTTATATAAAAGACTGTAAAAATACTCCCCTCAAAAAAACAGAACAAATACTCCAAAGTGGCCTAAGCAATAATTTTGTAAAGCCTTTTTGCTAATGGTGTGAATAGCCTTATTGGTCCTCGGACCTCAAGAATGACTGAGAAATGTAATAAAACCTCTCAACTAGACTTCAGTGATGCTAAAATAAAATCTGAAACAAAGAAGTATTGAAAGAAGAATGATACTCACAGACCACAAACTGTCACCTTCAGCTCCTCATCAAGGATGGTGATAACCTTGGGCATTTTCACTGTTACTTCAAATTTTGGAAGCACTGCAGCAAAACCAAAGGAGAAAAGTTTATGTGGGGTGGAATTAACATAAGAATGAGACCTGAAGGCCACATAACTACAAATGTCCTGAAAGCCTTTTGCATCCTAGCTTCAGATTTTTGTGGCCAGTGTCATCTACACATCCCACAGAAGTCAAAGTAAACCACTGGCATTCAGCCAGCCTCTGTGCCAGGTAAGAAAACTGGTTTATGACACTTATCTATTAAAATAAAGCATCTCCTTAGGTAACACAAGTGTTATCAGTCTCACAGCAGAATGACATAGAGAGTTAAGTCAAAGGTTTCTCACAAATATTTAGAGATGGGACTGTAGCCTGATCTCTGCATTTCCAAAGCACATAGACCTTACCAGTCTGGAAAACAGGAATGACCCAGTAGCTTCTCTGCTGACTTACCACAGGATGACCTCATATCCAAACCCTTCTGCAGGAGAGGTCATGGACAGTGACCATCTTGGGTGAACTAGGAGCAATTCAGGGCAGTCATGCAAATTAAAGAGGACAGTGAGCTTCCAGAAGGCTCATCTGGGCTGTATGATCATGGCAGACCATGTAATGCAGGCTGCACTTGGCTTGCTGAGGTGTTCTGGAGTGATCACTGGAGGTGATGTCACGGGGAAGTAGGAGCCATGTGCAAGTTTGTACTAGGATTCAATTTCCTAGCCAAGCAGACTGGACTGACACAGGAATAAGATCACCAGAGAAGGCACTGAGGCATCGTGAGAGGCTTGTGGAAGAGGACAGGAAAGATTTACAGCCCCAGCCTACACCAGAAGGTCAGAACTTCGCAACTCGAGGGAGACCTAGATTCAGTGTATGACACTTAACACGTGTGTATCCCGCTGAAGATGAGGCTGTGACTTCAATCACCTCTGAAAGGAAGTACAGCCACTAGTCACCAACATAGACTGCTACAAGCATACTAGCTCCTGCTAGAAGCCTTGTTGATACGGGCACCGCATGGCCTGGGTTTTAGGAAGGAGTAGAGAGAGACTCAGCCTTAACTCCTTCAGAACAGATGATGCTCATGAATGAGAAAACACAGAGATATTTTCCAGCCCTGCTGAACATCTTGATCATGTCTACCACCCCATCCAATTCCTCTTTCATGCCCCTACTGGAATACCTGCTAAGAACCTGAAAATGCTGCAACAATTACCATACTCCTCCACAGTGAAGGGATGCTGGATTTTCTTCCCGGAAGCCTTCTGTGCCACCACTGAGTAAGTCCCTTGAATGGGCTCAGTAGTGAGGTTGAAAGACAGCTGCATTAACCCTTCCTTTATCTCAGCCTTTGTCCACTGGCACAAACGGTTTTTCTTTGGGTCCTACAGGTAATGAGACCACAAGGAGATTGTGAGAACAGTGTGAGGCTGCAATAATAACTAATTAAAAAGCCCTAGCAGAAATAGCGAGGGTAGACACAACCCCAGTACCAAATGAGGCTGCAGGGCAGAGATAGCAGGATTGTTTGGGGAGTTCAGGGCTGGACAACAAAATGAGCCCTAGGCCATAGGTTATAATCATAATACAAGTTAAAACTTTATGCTTTTGAATAAATATTATAGATCTGCTGTATAAATAAAATAGACAAGAATCATCTTGAGGCAACTGGGAATGTGATAGATCTGAACATGAATTTTATGTATATACATACCTCAATATAGACCAGTGGAAGCTAGAAAGGGAACAACATATTTAGAATCCATGTATAGACAGAGTGCAAACAATACAGTCAAATGACTAGGACTACAAACATATTTTGGAGAAAAAGCTGATAATACAATGGGAAGAAAGCCCCTGATAGGGAGAAATGGAGCACTTTGATGTACATCAAGAGAGTGGCATCCATTCGTATTAAGCATTTGCACAGGACAGAAAAGTCAGCTAAAACCAACTGTGGCACACGTCCACTGTGATAATGGCAGATTTTCTCACCTTTGAGGTTTTTACATCAGCATTATTCATTTGAAGTTATATTCTCTAACCACTCCAAGAATGCAGAAATCTGAAGAACAGATCCTATAGCAAGATCTGAAATAACCTGGGAATTGCACAACTATCTCTGTGTACTGAGAGTTCTCCACAAGAGACACCTCTTTCCTCACTTTTCCCACAAAGGTGACTTAAAGCCAAATAATGATTGAAAAAGAAGTGTCATACTTACCATCTCATTCAAGGGACGGAAGTTTTCATCCAGAGAAACAATTCTGAAAAGGACTGATGGACCAAAGCAGAGAGTGAGGTTCCACAGAGCAGACACCAACCCGAAAACATTAGTTGCAAACACAGATGGTGCAAGAGAGAACAGAGTAATTCTCTTCTACAGAAATTCCATTCACTAGAAAGCTAAATCATGCTATGTTACCCATGTAAGAGATACTAATTATTATGAAATTAATTATTATTAAAGCTAGGACCAAAATCACAGCAATGTGAACATCTTACTGATGGTGGGCATCAGAAACTGTTTAATTGAGACCAAAGTTAAATTTAAGTTGCCTTTGTCTACTTTGCAACATCATGTTTTCACACTGGAATTAACATGTGTCTTGTAATTTTGTTCTAACCAGATTAACTTCTCAGGAAGGATGAATGCAAGCAAATCATTTTGGCACCTGTCTGCAAGTTTGTGTTGGCTCTGAATAAACAGAGAACTCAGCATCTCTTTTACAACATTTGTTCCTGCCCAGGCCAAGTTTAGAAGATGAATGGCTCAGAAGAAATGGCTTATATGGTTTTATCTATCTTCATAGTGCAAAATCAGCTGCCACTTTGAAAACTATTTCATGACTTAGCCTGAACTTTCACCCTGTTTTCTATAAGATAAATATCCAGTCACTGCTCTAGTTTTTGTGATTATAACAAAAGAGTTCAAAACTGCACAAAAGGGGATCAAACTGCATGGACCACAACGACAGAACTCCCAGCGGCAAAGGAAATGTGTGTAGGTGCCCCAGTTACATGCATATTCTTTAAAATTCTCCAAATTGTTCTCATGTGGAGCATTAAGAACATATGCCTCAGCCATGTGAGACTGATCTTCCAATCTCCACTGAAAGCAGTCAACATCTGGCCTGAATAGCACAACACTTTTAGGAATTTCTGTTTCAAGTACAAATCTCCACCTCCTCTTCATACCTGTCTGTCCAGGCTTGTAGATGGGCTTGTCTGTCTGGACGAAGACCAAACTCTCAGAATTCTTGACTAGCACTGACTTGCGGCTTCTGAACTGCAGAGTCTCCCCCTTCACTGTCACAGTAATAAATGTGACTGTTGACTCGCTCGTTGATTTTGGAATCTGGAGAATTTGTAAGAAGGGAACTGAGTAATGGACTACTTGTAAAGGCCTCTTGAACAGGCTTTCCTAAAATAATAGATGCAATATAATCCTGACAGACCCAGCACAGAGATGAAGGGACTAGAATCAGGAACAAGAGACTGACTTTTTCTTGTACTATATTCCTCTACTTTCCTACTGCTATGCAGTGATTATGCAAGTATTATGCAGTAAAGGAATTCAACTCTGCAAGTCATTTTTAAGAAGTCCTTCCTGCATTGATGAAAATCTGTCCTTTTCATCTTGACATTCACAGAGGAATTGAGTAATCCCCCTCTTCTTTCAGGTAACATCTCTAGTCTTTTCATAATATTTCCTTATTCAAACCAGACATACCAGATCTTTATACATCTCTTTCCAAGTGATAAAATAGCAGTCTTCAACATATGCGTGACATAGATGTCAACCTATTAAGTACCCTGAAAACCAGTTCTTCAGCCTTCAGGTCAAAGATATAATCTATACAGTGAGCCAGGTTACCAGCATTCCCAGTTGCCCAGGACTATTGCTTTAGACTCAGGAACTACCAATTACATAAGTCACTCCAAAAATAATGCCTCCTATTTATTTCCATGGAAACTAGAACAGATATATAGGGCACAACAATACTATTTGATAGAGCAAATTCTCAGCTACAAAACAATATTTTTTAACATATTCGCCAAATCCACTTTTTTCCAGGCCTCTCCTCTTCTTGTCCTAAACAGGGGCAGGTTTTCCAGGATTCAGCATTTCTCATTTAGATATCTTTGCTAAGGAGAGCTCAGCAGTGACAGTGTTTTGAGGATAGACATGAGTATACCTGCGGCCAAGAGGAAAGTGAGTATCTGTTCAGAGTTACTCTGTTCATTACCACTCAGAGCTGCTAGAGTTTATCCTACAGGGATTAAGATACTTACAGTGAAAGGAATGCAGGTAAACAAATCCTTCTCCGACACCACATCATCAATCAAGCTCCTATTTTCCCCTTGATACTCGATTGCAGCATTCAGCGTCACAGACTCATTCAGGTGAGTTAGCTGAACACAGATTTTCTCAGGGGAATCAGTGTGTATCAGAAAGGGCAGAAGCACCATGTACTGCCTGGAAAGAGGAAGGGAGGATTAGGTGAGATGTGCAAAAACACGTAGCTGGAGCTGTATAGAGAGAGCAAATAAAGCAGTCTGACTTCACCATACAGGAAAAGGATTTCCATCATGTCTGCTAACAGCAGGAGAAAGCAGAGAGGCTGCTGTTGAAAGTAAAATACCACAGAAAATTCTCAATGCAAATGTCTGGAAGGGATATTTTTTTCAGGCTCTAGCACAACAGAAACACTCGATTCTGAGACTATGAATGCTGCTGTGGTAAAAAGAGCAAAAAGCCAATTGTTGCCTTTGCCAGACAATGTTTGTCACACATACCAATAGGGCAAATGGGAGCGGGGAAAGAACGCAGTAAGATACAGTCTGCTTGCTGTCTGCTAGTGCCCCACAGATCTAACAGCCACAGTTCTACAGTGACATATAACCGTGGGTGAGAAGGAAATTTTCATTCCATTGGCTGAACTGAAAAATATGAATTAAGAAATAAAACCATTTTTAGTCATGCCAGATCTGTCATTTGCTTTTTTTTTTTTTTTTCCAGTTATCAATCAAAAAACATCTCCCAGGCATTTAGGCCGAGAAGTAAGGTAATAAATGAATGAAATGTTTGTTTTTTCAAAAACAGTCTCTCTGAAGAAAAAAATGAGTGTTTAAACGGTTATAAAAAATTGTCTTTTAAGTAAATGATCAATTTGGTGCAAGAAATTTTGCTAAAATCCTGTCAGCTCTATGAAAAAGCAAAAGCTCTTTCTTTCTTTCTGCTCTCCTTCTTTTCATTTTATTTATTTATTTAGGCTGCAGTTTTACTGATACCTCAATTGCACAGACTCTCCTTAGTCCCTCAAAAGCACTAGAGCTGCTGTCTGTAGAAGACATTTTACCCAGCCCTTGTGTCTTTATTCCAAGGTAAAAGAAGGTAGTTGAAAGATGAAAGACAAAGAAACAGAGAAATAAATCCAGGTCTCCAGTCTGCCTAGAGTCTCCCCTGTGTAGCTTACGGTTCTGTGATGGGTGAAGCATCTCCAAGGAGGAAGAAGAGGAGAATGAAGATGTTTAATTTGCTGGACCCATCTTTCCCCATGGTACAGAACAGGCTGTGGTGGTAAAATGGTAAAATATCCACTCAGCCTAGTCCAGCGGTGCTCATACTGCTACTCTGTCCCTGAGTCAACCCCTTTATACTCTGCTGCAAACAGTCCGGGGGCTGGAGGAGATAAGGACTAGAGTCCAGCACCATCCAGAAATGGGAGAGGCTGCAAGGAGGAGCTCTCTGAATCCGGGCAGAAGTCCAGATGCAAAAGGAAGGGGGGGGGGGAGGATGCCTGCAGGATAGTGCTGTCTCTCTTTGGGGCAGGGCAGCAAGCAATCGAGAAGAAAGAGCGGTTGACAGCAGAGGGTAGGAAAAAGACCTCAATTTATGGCAAGACTCCTTGTGTAGGGCTGCACCCACCTCTGATCCTGGAGGCTGCTGAAGGAGAGATTATTTCCTTTCAGCTGGGAGAAGAATGAGTGAGTGTTTGGGAAGCAAGAGTGGGTTTGCCAGTTATTACAAGCAGGACAAATATGTCAGTCTTACAGGATCTGAAATCAGGGAATGCAAACTGTGAAAACGTTACTCCTCTACCCACTCTGCTCTCTTGTGCAGTCCATTTCTAGTCTCACAATAGCTAATGCCAGTAAAAGGGGCCAGAGAGCAGCTGGGCAATCAAACCTGAGACAGTTTGACCTTCACCTTACAGAAACACGGACAATAACACGAGGAGAAGCTGCCAAAAGGTCAACCCAAGTAACAGCATGTAACACATTAACCATTTCCCGGAGCAGCACTTGCTCACATGCTGCAGAACATATGCAGCCTGGGTCACAGTTCTTGTTCCAGGTCAAGTTATTGGGATATATAGATCAAATTATTTCTCTCTGATGGAGTCCTTCTTGGTTTCAGTACCTGAAAATCCATGTAATGCAGTGTGATAGGTAATGTAACTGGAAGGAAATTTCTTTTTGACAATTGTCTTTACTGTAGTTACCTTGGTCTGCAACAGGAAGATCAATAGGTCTGGTAATTATTACCCTTGCAATTGGCTGGATGTATGTGTCTTTCTCATAGTCCTAACTCAAACTCCAAAGAATAGACATCTGTGTAACAGAATGTAAAACATAGTTTGGGCATTAAAAAAGCTATAGGATAAAATGATTACCTGTCTGTCTTTCCCTCCTCCTACTACCATCGTAAGTTTCCTAAGCTCAGGAAGTTTGGAGTTAAGAAATCCAAGTGCAATTACACAACAATCCTTTGTTAGAGACCTCATTCTGTCCTGTAGTGACCTTGATGAGAAAGAAAAGAGAATACTTTTGCATGTCTGAGTTCCTTGGGGAATTCACAAAAGAAACACAGCCCAAGATTGTGCTCTGCCTTCTCTATATGGTACCTTAATGTTGTTCTGTCTGCCCAGGAGAAATGTAACCCAAATTTGCCTCACTCAACACAGAAGAGGGTTTGTACACGGGATGGTCAAAGCCTTTTTGTTTACATTAGTTTGAACTGACTGACTGGTTGCAGGAAAGAGGTGTAGGACTGCACACAGCAGGAGAAGCCAAAGCTGCACTTTTTAGAAAATAGTCTCACACTGATCAAAAAACAGGGTCTTTAGGACTAAAAATCCTCCTTGGTTCTGAGTGCACTCTGTAGCCAAAATCTGAGAAATGTTTACTGTCAGTTAAGGGAGCAGATCTGTAAAGGCTTGAAAATTCCAATAGGTACCAGTGAACACATGCAGATACCAAACCACCTTTCAAAATTTGCCCTCAAGCTGCTTGGCCTCCATAACAGTCCCAATAGCATCTTTGGCTCTGCCAGACTAATTGCTAGGGTTTATGCATGACCAATCTGTTTCACTTTTATAGATGATAGCATAGACAAGGCAGTGACAATCAGCTTTCCCTCAATCTCCTTTTATTTCCATCTGCTGAGGGTATAGCTGAGAACATCAGTAGGCTTTCCAGAGTTTTTTGGCTAACTTTTAAAAGGTTATCTCTGAGGTCCTCAAGGAAACACCATGGAGGTGTTCAAGGCCATGCAATCTGATCTAGCAATTGGCAATTCTGCCTGTGGCAGGGGGGTTGGAATTAGATGATCTTTGAGGTCCCTTCCAACCCAAGTATTTCTATGATTGTATGAAAACTCCTTGTCCTGTTTTCAGCTGGAATAGAGTTAATTTTCTTCAGAGTGACTGGTATGATGCCATGTTTTTGATTTAGGCAAAAAACGATGCTGATAATACAATGATGTTTCAGTAGTTGTTGAACAGTACTTGCATTAAGTCAAGGGCTTTTCAGATTCTCATGCTACTCGGCCAGTGAAGAGGCTGGGGCTGACAAGAAGCTGGGAGGTGACACAGCCAGGATAGCTGACCAGGACTGAACAAAGGGATATTCTGTACTATATGGCATCGTGTAGAACATGCTGGTGGAGTTGGCCAGGGTGGGATGGCTATTGCTTGGGAACTGGCTGGGCATCAGTTGCTGAGTGGTGAGCAATTGCACTGTGTCATTTGTTTTAGATATTGTCCTGGTTTTATTAGTATTCAATATCATAACATCATATGACAGGCTGTTTGGTATAGAGATACAGTGTACTGTAGAGCTGTGCTTCCTGTTTAGCAGACTCACATGAGTTCTGACGATCCAATGGGATCCTTATCTTCCAAGGGGAAGATACACTGGAGTGTACTGCATTTCCCAGAAGCCTCCACATGATTTCCAGTTCCAGTTGACAGGAATCTCATCAGGTCCCATGGATTTGTGCACCTTTAGGTTCATTACATGGTCTCAAACATCGGATCTTCACTTCTTAGAGCAGGCAGATCTTCCTTCTCCAAGTTCTTACCTTTGCTTTTTGCAGCTTGGGCAATGTAGCTATAGCCCTTGCTTGTGAAGACTGAGGCAAAGAAGTCATGGAGTACCTCAGCTTTCTTTCTCCATATCCCTCCTGACCAGGGCTCCAGTTTCCTTACAGAGAGGAATATCTTCCCTGGCCTTCATTTTATCACTGATATACCTGTAAAGTTTCTTCTTGTTCCCCCTTTACATCCCTGGGTAGATTTAACTTTATCTGGGTTTTAGCTTTCCTAGCCTGACCTCTGGTTGCTCAGACAACTTCTTTGTAAGTCTGCCTCCCAGGTAACCCATTCCCTTCCTGCTTTCAACTCCCTACAGACTTTCTTTTCATGCTTAAGTAAGTCCAGGAGTTCCTTGTTGATCTACAGAGGCCTCAAAAATTAGATTCTCCTATCTCAATCAGGATTTTCCCTCTTCCTTTCTCCTCAGTGGGGAGGGAAGAGTGTCACATGATTAACTCTTCAAAATGCAACACTATTTTGGCACTCAATGTAGGGCTCAAACCCGTGACCCTGGAATTAACACTATCAAGGACAACTTCACTAACAACGGAGGTCTGGCTGAAGCAGTGAAGGCTGGGGGCAGCCTTCGTTGCAGCGACCATGAGATGGTGTAGTTCAGGCTTTCATGTGGCAGAAATAGAATACCAAACAGAATCACAACCCTGGACTTCAGTGGGACCAACTTTGGCCTTTTCAATCAATTGCTAGGGAAAATCCGATGGAACAGGGTACTTGAAGGAAAAGGGGCCCAAGATAGTTGGTTAGCATTCAAGGAGTGTTTCTTCCAAGCTCAACAACAGAGCATCCCAACAGGTAGGAAGTTGAGAAAGCCAGGAGACCTGCATGGTTAAACAGAGAACTGCTGGGTAAACTCAAGTGGAAGAGGAGAGTCTACAGTATAGGTTGGGGACTGACCTGCTGGAGAGCAGCATAGGGAAAGAGACCTGGGCATGAACATGAGCCAACACTGTGCCCTTGTGGCCAAGAAGGCCAATGGCATCCTCCAGTGTATAAGGAGGGGTGTGATTAGTAGTTGAGAGGTTCTCCTCCCCCTCTACTCTGCCTTGGTGAGATCTCATCTGAAATATTCTGTCCAGTTCTTGGCCCCTCAATTCAAGAAGGACAAGGAACTGCTTGAAAGTCCGGTGCAGAGCCACAAAGATGATAAAGGGAATGGAGCATCTCCCTTATATGGAAAGGCTGAGGAAGATGGATCTCTTTAGCTTGGAGGAGACTGAGAGGTGACCTCATTAATGTTTATAAATATGTAAAGGGTGAGTGTGAGGAGGATGGAGCTAGGCTCTTCTCAGTGACATCCAATAATAGGACAAGGGGCTATGTGTGCAAGCTGGAACATAGGAGGTTCCACATAAATATGAGAAAAAATTTCTTCATGATAAGGATAATGGAACACTGGAACAGGCTGCCTGGAGAGGCTGTGGTGTCTCCTTCTCTGGAGGCATTCTAAACCCACCTGGACACATTCCTGTGTGACCTAATCTAGGTGTTCCTACTCCAGCAGTGGTATTGGACTAGATGATATTTCGCGGTCCCTTCCAATCCCTGAGATTCTATGATTCTGTGATTAAGAGTCCCGTGCTCTACTGACTGAGCTAGCTGGGTATTCAGTATAACTATTAAGCAAAGGACCAGCATAGGAAATTCAATTCCTAGGAATAAAATGGCAGGATACACATTGCCACATTCTAATGAATGTAATCAATATAGTCACTGCCATGTCTCTGCCAACTACTAAGAAGGAAACACAGTCCTTCCTAGGTGCAGCGGGTTTTTGGAGGATGCATATTCCAGACGACAGCTTTATTGTAAGTCATTTCCATCAACTGACGCGGAAGAAGAATGATTTTATTTGGGGCCCTGAACAACAACAGGCCTTTGAGCAGACTGAGAGATAGCCTTTGCAATAGCCCTGGGACCAGACTGGATGGGACATGATGTCAAAAACATGCTCTACACTACAGCTGTCGAGAACAGCCCCACTTGCAGACTTTGGTGAAAAGCCTCAGTGGAGACCCAAGATGATCTCCTTGGGTTTTGGAGTTGAGGATATAGAGGGTCCAAAGAGTGCTGAAAAGGAGTGTGCTCCAACTGAAAAGGAGATATTAGCAGCATATGAGAGGGTTCAGGCTGTTTTGGAAGTGATTGGTACTGAAGCACAACTTATTTTAGTACCTGAACTACCGGTACTAAATTGGATGTTTTAAGGGAAGGCCCCCTACACACCATGCTTCTGGTGCTG